AAGAAATAAATAAAAATAAAAACATACACATTTAATAAATCTTAGCTAAATTTTTTAAATAATAAAATGAACTAAAGCCCGAAATTTAAGGCAACATTTAATGTTGTATGATTTTTAAAGAAAAAAATAAGAAAAATAATAAAAGTTACTATTTATAGGCTGCATTAAATTCTGACCAATTTTTCTGCTACTATTTTTGGTAAATGTTAATTCTTATTATATATATATATAGATACGATTAGACTGTATAATGGTTAGCTAATTTTTTTTTTCACATAAAATATATATTTATATTATGAAATATCATACTTTTTTTGTATTATATTTTAAAGTATGACATTTAAATATAAAAAAAAATGTAAATTTCTTGAAAGAATACGAATGCAATGCCTGTCAAAATAACTCTCACTTAAAACAGGGGCGAAACCATGTGTATGGTTGGGATGACGCCGGCCCCCCCAAAAAAAAGAAGGGTGAGGGATTTTGCTGGAACTGGAAGATTTTCCTTTGAGCGCGCATGTTGGGTCCTCCCCGATTTCATGCGGTGCATACATGGCCGGAGGGGCGCCACCGATTTTGTCGCGAAAATTTTGTTCACGTCGAACTGAAGGAATCTGGCTGGACAAGAAGAACTATAACAACAGCAAAATTTAATATTTTTTTTTATTTTTATTATATTTTGAGTTGGTTAATTAGCCGACTTGCGGTGTACCGACAGGACTAAAAAACCGAGTCGATCATTACCGAAAAATACTTTTATGAAAGTATGGGAAGCGGAGAGTGCGTTGGTGGCATCGATTTATGATTTTGAGCTCCCGACCATTTATTTTGGGTAGCCCGAAGTTGAGAGAAAAATGGCAGTGGCGGTGATTTTATTGTCATTTTCATGTCTAGACTTCGGGTAACCGTCGGCCCTCGTTAGGCGTGCTGAAAATTAGCGGGAGTGCTTCCTTGAAAGCACGAGAAGAGTAGAAATCGTTCGTAAAATTTATTTCACATTTCGAAGTTTCGAGCATTTATTTTGAGAAGCTCAAAGTCGAGTGCGCATAATAGAAGAATAAAAAGCCGTTTTGCGGGGTTCCGTAAGGTTGCGTGTGATCTCGGTTTAACGAGAATCGAGTTGGAGCATGTAGACAATTCAAGCACGATTCTATACGGACAAATTTCGCATTTTTCGAAGTTCCGAGCATTTAATTATGGGAGTTTGAATTTCTGCGTTAAATAGTATCAAAATGAGCAAATTGGGGTGGTGCGCCGCGGGATGGCCGTAGTGGGGGTGGTGCGCCGCGGGATGGCCGGAGTGGAGGTGGTGCGCCGCGGCAAATTGGGCCCTCCCCGGTATGACTGGCTGGTTTCGCCACTGCTTAAAGATACTGCACATATAAATTGAAACTTTTCCACCAACTATGATTGACTTTTACTCTGAAATGTTGTAGTTTTTAGGCAAGATAATTTAAGTGAAAGTTCTTTCATTTTATTTCTACGTAAGCATTCACATGCTTCTATAGTTTAGTTTTACACTTTAACTTTATAATAATAAAAAAACATATACTTTTGTTAGGGTAATAAGATATAAGTGATCATCCTAAAATGACCTACTTTAAAACTCAAGAATTTTATAAATAATCGATTTAAACCACATTAAATATTCTTACCTTTTTGTTTTTTCTGTTGTATAAATATATTTATTTCAAGCACCCGTATAGTATACGAATTTCATACTAGTTAATACATTATTATAGAAGAAATTCAGAAGATCGAGAACCAAATCACACTCGTGCTAAAAACACTCACAATTACGACATTCGTATGGTCGAAAAAAACGTTGGATAGTTCTGATTAAGACGAACATTTGTTATTATAATATGCAAATGCAAGTTTTTTCAAACTGAAATAACTTATAGTATTTTGTGATTCTATTTGCTATTTTTTCATGTTAAGAAATAAATACTCCATATACATTTTAAACTTCTATTCATCTGTAGTACTTCTAAACTTACAAAATTATTGTCAATAGAATTGATAGACGAATTGAGCCGCTCGTGAACTCGGTTCGAGTTCGACTCAGCTTGTTTGATAGACGAGTCGAGTTTGAACTCGCTTAAAGCTTGTTTCGTTAACGAGTCGGGCTAGACTCAGTTCGATAAGGCTCGTTAATACTCAAAACTGAAATTTTTATATAATTTTTTATAGTTCGGCTCGTAAAAGCTCGAGACTGACTCGAACTTTGCTCGTTATTATTGATAAATGAGCCAAGCTCGAGCACCATGAGTTCGAGCTCGGCTCTGCTCGGCTCATTTATAGCCCTAGCTGTCGATGAGCTTGACATGTCTTAAACATCAATTTCATAAGCTAGGGGGACCGAAAACAAAATTAATGAGTATTGTTAGGAATATGCAACATTGTTGTAACTTGAAAACACCGTTTAGATTTTTTATTATTATCCTTTATACGAATTTAAATCATTTTTTTTCAAACGACTAAATTATATTAATACCTCAATAATGTACACACGGTGATTACAATATAAACCTACTCTAACCAAACTAGCTAGGGAAGAAAATATACGGGAGAAGCATATCAATGTTCTCCCTCCATGGCTAACATGGCCAGAGCCCTGTTACCACCATAAGCAACAAAGCAACAGAAAAGAAAGAGAAAACACAAGAAGCAAACTTGTTCCTCAACACAACAATATAACACAAACAGAACTCAAAGAAGCACCAAAAGAACACTCAGATTCAGTTTTTGCACAACACTTCTTGAGTCCAAGTAAATTTTAATTTTCTGCCACTAGAGCCGGTCATGAAAGTTCTTAGGCCCTGGCGAAATAAGTGAAATAATGCCCTTTATGTTTTTTTCTATTAAAAAAAAACATGCCATGAAACATTATAAAGTTAAAAATAAACTAACAACTAAATTGCATAAATAAGATATAACNGAAATGGCAAAGAATTACCTCAATTTTATGAAAAATAAAATGAAGAATAGAAGACTATCTAGAATTTGATGAACAAGTAACTTCACGTAGTTCCAACTATCACTTCTATAATTGAATTATATTAGACAAAATAAAAATTATGCTAGAGAAATTTAGAGTGATTGGGTGGGAAAGAATAATAGAAATATAAATATAATTAATTTTCTTATAATTAATTAGTAATACATTTCCTCAATAGAATTCAACATATAATGATAAGGAGTTTGCTTAGAAACACTTATCAAATAAGCTTTTGGATCTAAAAGTCAATATCCACAATCATTTATATTTGGTGGACAATTAAGAATAAACTTCTGGACTCCAGAAAATCCATTTTAAATAAATAAATGATAGAGACTTTTGGAAAAATCAATTTTGCAAATGTTCATTTAGTGAAATGGACTTGTACTAAATTGCTCCCAAACAAGTGATATAGATTAGAAGCCTCATTTTTTATTTTTTATTTTCAAAACCACTAGAAGAAGAAAAAGATGACTATATAATTTTGCATTAAAAATATTGTTTTTATATACATTTACACTCATTTTTTGAAATGAGTCACCTCTGGATTGTTGATTATTTCTAGCTCTCCAGTTTCTCCAAACATACAATGTGATTATGTCTTGCATCATCTTGTAACTGCTAGTGCTACACACCTTCTCTCATCATGCCTTAATGTTTCAATGACTCCCTTGTAAAGCATCCATAGTCCATTCCATTCCCAAAAGCTTTCAGCGTATCTTAACTCGACAACATTTGAAGAAAAGATGATCTATAGTTCTTCACCGAATTTTGGCCATAATTAAATAACCCATGAAATTTAAATTTCATTTCAGTTATTTTTCAATGTCAATTTGGTTATCATTTTTATTTTTGAGTTTCGGTGTTATTTTTATTTTATGTTTTAAATAGTTAAATTAATCAGTTGATTATACAAAAAGGTATTATCTTACATGTATTTATTTATATCAGTTTTTGCTATAAAGCCATCGGATGGTTCGAGTTATGGAACCATCCACACTTGTTCACCAATAGTGTATTGACATGTGTCCTACAATAAATACACTTTGAACATGTGTCAATATATTATATGCTGGATGACTCTATAAGAAAACCATCCGATGACTCCGTAGAATTTTTCTTATTTATATTTCCAGTGAAACATCCCCTTCCCTTTATATATAGTTACCGAATATGCTGAGCATAAGTGACAGACTCGCATACTTCGGGATCCTGTGTGCCAAAATTTAATGCTTCATTATTTGGCTTGGATGGATTTTTAGTTACTTTCAATCCAAAAATAACTAGGTTCGGATTATCCATAAATATGTTGATATTTATGGTCATTTTACATGTATTAATTGCATTTTAATATCATTTCTAATTAAAACAATTGAATTGTACATATATTTTGAAAGTTAATAACTTTTGTATTTTTTATCAGTTTTACATATGTATTATATCAAATTAATCATCTTTTGATAAAGTTCGATTTGACATCCATATTGTATTTATAAAATAAATAAATAATATTTATCTTTTTAATAATAGTAAAATTATTTATTAATATTAGTTAGAAAAATAAAATTAATTATCAATTATTATAATATTATACATGTAAGTCTCACAAATAACAAGTGTCATTCTAAAATATATAATAAGATATATTTTTTTTAAAAAATATTTTAATTTTAAAATACTTCTTTTATTAATTTTAAAATTAAAAAATATTTTTTAACAAGCATCTGTAATGCTGTTGTATTAATAATATAAATATTACACGTTTTAAATGACTATTTCGTTCGATTTTGAACAAGCAAGCAAATTCGGTTTTTATGAATAACCTTTCCTATCCGGAATCTCCCACTTCATCCAGAGTTCTCCTCAAGTAGGCATCAAACCACAGCCGTACGATTATACCGCCTTAAACGCAAATACGCTACCTATTTAGTCAACCACATATCGCTGACGTGTATCATATTTAGCCGTTGGATCCACCTCGTGCGTGTATATATATAATCCTCATTGCTTCCTGTACGGGTGGCACATCATATCACTCAATTCCAGCTCGATTTCCCTACAAATCTACAAATTGTTTCCCATCTCGAAACAATCTCCATTCAAATTATTATATTGCGTGATGATATTCGTTACGGCTGCGTGTTGTCTGCGCTTGGATATGGAGCTTGTTTTCGGTCAGTTAATCCGCCGGTCGGAGGATTCGGCTGTCCGATTATCAGCGTAGCCTCGGCTTTGGGTTTGTCGAGCTTTCTGCAAATCTGCTACGATTATTCGGTTGATCGATCGGTGCAGGTATTTCGTGGATCTATTCGTATTTTGTTCGTGCAGCCTTTATGGTCGATCCTGTGCAATGTTTTGTTGTTGATCTGTTCCTTTATCTGGATTTCTTCATCTTTTCGTGTTGGTTTTTATTGCTATATTGAATTATTTTTGGGGATTTTGATGTGTTGCTGACCAATGTTTTCTGTTATCCTGAGGAGGCGTTTCCCATTTATTCCTTCTATTTTTATTAGAAAATCCATGGCATGAGTGATTGGGGAAATTTTAATTCTTATTTTTGTTCCTTACGATTCTGTTGAGTTGTAAATTGGTTATTGGGTATTGATATCCCTCTATCTGCAGGATTTACAAGTTTAACAAGCTTATGTTTATTGTATAAAGGCTACAGCATCCTTAACATGGACTGCACTGCACCTGCTTTCGAAATATTTACATTCTCGAATAATTTATCATGGATTCTGTTTCTATTGCGATATCGAATTGTTTTTGGGGGTTTATATTTGTTTGTTCCCTGGAGTAATTTGTTACTGGCCAATTTTTTGTTATCCTGATGAAGTGTTTCTATTTTTTTTCTTATTTTATTTCCTTCTTAAAATATCCATGCCATGAGTGATTGAGAAGTCTTAAATCTGATTTTTGTTCTCTTCTTTTCTTTCGATTCTGGTGAGTTTTTAAATTTGTTATTCTGTTCTTCATCTCCTCTATAGACAGGATTTGCCCTGTTGTTTAAGCTCATGCTTATTGTATTTGGCTACAGTAACCTTCATCTGGACTGTACTACACCTGATTGGAATGAATTCACGATCTGGAAATAATTTATCATGGATCCTGAAGTTTGGGGTAGATTGTGGAAGGACTGATCAAGGATCTCATGGTTTAATATAAGTGTTTGCATGTAAGAAAAGAGAGATGTCTTATGTAAAAAATAGGGAGCTGTGGGTAACGGCTAAGGTGAATGGTACTGTCCGTTGTCAACTAAGACCTTTGCCATGATGGGTGAGCTTGCATGGCAGGTCACTACATAATAAAATTTTCTCTTTTTGTGTTTCGAGGGGAGGTGGCACAGGTTTGCCTGGCTCTCCCCTCTGTGTGTGTGATTTACGCTCTCCTTCTCTCCTACACACACCCAATGCCAAACACACATGGTATTTCATTATTGAGCTATCAATCAGAACGACATAATAAAAGATGAACTGGATTGATAGGACTCATACAACACATCTTGGAACTGGAACACTTTGGCAACGGGGGGATGTAAAACCCCTAAACGATTTAAAGGGAAATTCACTGAGGAAATATACACAAACATGGCTGTCAACTTCATTCGAGGTACAAATTTACACTTAACTATTTTATATTCATTTGCATTTTACTTGCAAGAATGATACCATTGAACTGTAGTTTCCAACTTCATCCACATGTGTTTTTGGTATATTCTGATTTATATGCACTGGTGAATGTATTAACACATAATCTGCCCTGCGTCAATGTTTATATTTTTCTCAGATAAACATCAAGTAGTTAAATGGAAAGGTAAATAGTCATGAGTTAATTTCTTACTCTTTCCTTGGAGATTTCATGAATTTTCATGTCATGTACTTATTGGAGTTAAATATTTTATCTTTTTCCGACATTATATAACATATAAATGGGCAGAAGTTGCGTGGAAGATCTTTTTTACTTGGCAATAACACAAGTGTCATCCATTTACCAAAATTAGACAACCCTGAGTGAAGAAATGAGGTTGGCTTTGCAGGAATATCACGTGGAACCAGGAAATCATGAACTTTGACATTTCAAATATGGTCTCACACTATGGAATGGTTTTCTATTTCATTAGTTATAATAAAAAGTTCAAATTATATCGTATACATATATATATATATATGTATATATTGATTGGCAACTGATTAGGTTACTGTTTTGTGTAAGTTGATTTGAAAGAGGCATGGTTGTAATAGATGGGCAATGTTGTTGCGAAAGCTTTCACTGTTTGGTGGAAGTTGTCAATTCCTGGGGACTCGGTGTGCTTTTTCGCTTCAACATAAGTTTGATTGTGCTGATAGATGCATTATTAGTCGGTAAAACCAAATGGCAGATTAATGATGTTTTGTCCGTCAATTTTCATGTTGTGAGGAGCTTGGAGTTTCATTGTTTCTTCACCATTTTTTATAAACTTGGTAGTGAAGTAGTGTATTTTCTCAGTTAGATAAATATTATACTGTATTTTTCACTGTTTCTTCATCAGTTGTGTTTAATTGTGTAACTGGAGTTGGCATTTCCTCATTATGTTATCCTCTACTTTTTTTCTATTTTCCTAGTGATGAATATATTGCATGGTTGGGACACTTGTCTTTTTAATTTGAGGACAACATGTTTCTTGTGGAATCTTTCATCATGATGGTATAGTAAATTGTGAAGCATTTGAATTTTTTTCCTTTGGTCTCTGAATTTCGAGAAATCAAAATGGTAAGAGCTTGATCGGCGGGCTTCCAGCCTTTGTTCTTTTTCAGCTATATATTGAGTTTTGAACGTATTCTGCTGCTTCAAGAATGGCCAATGCTGCTGGCTTCATGCAATTGGTGTAATCAAATGGTGGTTTAGTTCCAATGGGTTTAATATCTTGGGTAAATTCTAATTGATTATTGTCATTATCTTCAAGTACAGTGGATTGTAGCCTATAGGAGACAACGTTCATTATCATGATGGAGACTGTCTTCAATGGACAGGAAAGTTTAACAGGCCTTTTGACTAATATGTTAGTTTGAATGAGGAAAGATAACCAAAATACTTAGAGATGGTGACATTGGAGTGATGTGTCTGAAGTTCTATATAAATTTACTATAAAATGCTTGGAAGAATTTGTCCATTGTGCGTAAATTTGATAATTGATAAATTTACTGTGTGGATAAATAATATGCATTGGGTTCTGTAGATATGTTTACTAATTTTCATATTTCAGAATGTCTCTTTTTCTTACCCAGACACGAGGTTTACTAGTTGATTTATAGTNTTTTTTTTTTTTTTTTTATTATTATTATTATTATTATTATGTTTCCATAAGCTCAAATTTCGACTCCACCTGGATCCATATCAGTATAAATGTTCCAGTACTGTACTTACAGGTAATTCCGGTCTAAGGGAAATGTGGAAGACGATTCCGGTCCAAGAGAAATGTGGAAGACTTATACGATGAGGTTTGTCATAACTTTTCCATGAGCCGAAGCCTAATTTATTTATTTATCTTTTTTTTTTTTCATTTCGTTTTCCAACAACTAAACTTCCTAATAAAGGCTTTGAATTTTCATTATTTCCAGTCTTATTCTGTTCACATGACCTGCTAGTTTGTCTGAGGTTTTTAGGTAATAAAGATATCATAATTGGTTCTTGATTTATAAATTTTGTTCTTGAACCATGAAGGTGTAAGCATACAACTGAAAAATAGAACAATTTGCGTGCAGGGACCCACTCCAACTGTGCTCCAAATCGGAACGCGAACTCAAAAAATTCCTCTGCCCGAGTGGCAAAGCGGAATGCAAAATGGGATTTTGTTCAATTTTCACTCACTTCAAATGCATATTTTCGTTTTAACTATTGACAAACTCAAAACGGTTGATAAGTTGTATTTGTTTCCTTTAATTTGTGAACTTACACAATTTTGGCATTTTTTATATATAACCCTGGTTTATATTTGTGGAATAGTATGTCATGGCTTTAACATGCTTATTGTTTAATATAAAAAATGTTTTGTTTACATATCTTTTTTTTTTTAATTCGCAATACGATATATTTAATTTTACATTTTTATATTATCTCCAAATAAAAATTATCATTAAAGACTCTAAAACTAAAAAAAAGTATATGTGAAAGAGTATATTAAATATCAATTGTTCACCGTTGAGTATGAGAATGAGTCTTTCGGTTGAAAAAGAATTACTGTTTGATGTGACAATTATTGCAAGTTTGGTTTGAAAATGAGTTTTTTTTGTTGAAGACAGTTAAATGGCTTACTTGCAATGTACAGAGCCTCATGGAGCTGGGGCTGAGATGTACCTGGCAAAATTGGGCTTGGGCCGGGCTATTTGGATCTTGGGTGTTGGCGCGCGTCCTGTGTGGCCCATCTCGTCATTACACATGAAATAGAAGGATTTCATGAAATAATGACACCTCTTAAGATCTATTGCTACAAACTGTTTACATTAAAATAACCGAATATTATTTCGTCAATAATGTAAAATGTGTTTCCACTATATTCTCTTTTGTAGACTAACCTGCCTCTAATAACCATTTCTACAGTTTTTTTCTCTCCTTTATCTTTCTTTTTTTTTAATCTTTATCTGCCCTTTTTTCTTCTTTTTATTTTTCCTTCTCCATCATAACGAAAACACCCACCCAACCCAAAAATCTCACCCCTCCTTCCACATTCCCTCCTTTATCTCTCTCTTTGATCTTATATTCATTCCCCTTTATATTCTTTTTATTTCCCCTTTCTTCCTCACTCCGTCCTTCTTCATATTATTATTATTATTATTTCTCGAATTGAATCGAATCTGAAATCCATGGACTCGTGGCGGTGGTTCTAGTGGCGGCCGCGGTTTCTGCTCGGAGTGGACGATGAAGGCGACCTTGGCACCGGTTAGGACCATAGCTCGCTGCCCTTGCGGAAGATGCTCGGTCTCCGCTTGGAGAAGGTGACATGGCGGCGGTTCTTGTCCTCGATTTTGCGCAATCGTGTGCCGCGCCCTGGCTTGTCCGCTTTCTGCCCGATTTTGTGATCTTTATTTTTTCGGACCAACAAAAGCCCTAAAATCTCGTACATATTAGAAAATGGTGGGTAGAAGAGTGTGAATTAATTTGGCAGTTTATTTATTTATTTGTTTTTTATCTGCTGGTTAGTTTGGGATGGTTGAGAGAAAGGATGGCTCATGTCTTGGGTTTGTTTTTCTCGGTGGGAGAATTCAATAGTTGAAGAGGTATGCGTTGCTATAATGATGAACCTGTATTTTTTGCCTTTTCATTTATAATAGAACAGTAAGTGTTGATGGTGGATATTTTTATTGTTTATTGATTGTTGTTTTTATGTTTCTTGAAAGATGTTGTTATATTGTTGATTTGCTGTGGATATTTTTATTGTTTATTGATTGTTGTTTGTATGTTTCTTGAAAGATGTTGTTATATTGTTGATTTGCTTTTATATATTAATAAATGAGTTGTTTTTGGCTGGTTTGTGATTATATATCTCTTAGAGTTNGTGATCGAAGTTATAATTTGTTTATATTCGAATCGCCATGTGTTCTTTAAAAAACTCAGTTTTCTTAACATTCAGATAGCAGTTAATTTTGTGGAATTCAAATAATTCAACTACCAATTGAGGTATTTGTGTAATTCTATACATGCTAGTATTATTATGGAATGAATTTTTCAAAAGAGGACAACATTACGCGAATGCTCTTCCTGTGTGGCCCATCTCGTCATCACACATGTATAGAAGGATTTCATAGTGAACATTACGCGAATGCTCTTCATATTTTGTGGGATAGGGTATCCATTATATTCTTCATATTTTGTGTAGATACTCGATTGACCAAATATTTTACTTTTACCTGTTATATTATCTTTAAATTAAAGTCAGTAATTACTAAATTTTGCTTCAAGTTTTGTCAACTTTTATCACTTCATGTTGAAATAACATTGGCAAAGAATAAAGTATAAAGGCCCTTCTGTTATTATTTAGGTGACCCGTTGATATGCAATGTAATCTTCCTTCTTCTGTAACTTTCACATTTAATTCTTTTTCCTTTTCAATGAAGCCTGCATGAACCAACCAGATGATGTGGAATAATTAACATGTCTAAATTGAACATAATATTTATTAAAGTCCACGAAGAAAAAATAGATAAATTAAGCAGCACAGAATTTTAAGGGACACAGAAAACCATAGCCCACACATGAACATATCATCTATCATGGTTCATGTGAACCCACACAACTTGGAACCAATGAAAATTATACTCCCATGTTTCTCTTTATGGTCAAAATCTCCATTAAATATAGTCAATATAATATAATATTCAAAATTTGATGGAAAAGTCTCACAGTCAAACTCTTCATTTGTTCAATTTTTTTTTTTTTCTTCTCATCAACCAATCAACCAAAAGCCACTACTCATTTTCTAATCTTCCTCCCTCACTTCATATGTCTTTTTCTATGCTAAAACACTCAACAGGCAGCAACACTTTTGGATAAAGTGTATCTGAGATAATAATATGGATAAAGTTGCAGTCTTGAAAAAAGAAATATCCTTTGTCCAGTCATATATTTGTTTTTTTTTAATTATTCTTTTCTCCACACACAACATTACTAGCTAAATAGAGCTGAAAGTTTGGATAATTTTATAGTGCCCCCGCCTTTCTTCTTTAATTTCAATTATTCTTCCTGTTGTTTTGATGCTGGGGAGAATTAATATTTGTGGCTATAGAAAACTGCCAAGTTGTTTCTTTTATTTTGGAAAAAGAGATAAAAATTTGAGATATTTATAATTTTTTCTTCAAGACCAGCTTCATCAATCATTTACACGAGTGAAAATATCATTTCTTGCTAGTTGAACCTTTTGCAATTTTGAAAGTTTTGTTCTTTTTTCTTTTCATTGTAACTACCAAAACAGAACAACCCTTTTTAGCATGAGCTTATTTACTATTAACCTGCTTTGATTTTTTCTTTTTTTGATGGGGAAGAAGAGAAAAACAAAGGATTTATCAATTGCAATAGCAGAATCATCTTCAACAGAGCATACACAGACTCCAAGAAAAAGGGGAAGGCCAAGGAAATACACTACAGAAAAGAATGAAGAGCCAAAAATAACAGAACAATTTGATGAAGAAGAAAGAGGAGAAGAATTGGAAAAGGAGATGAAATTGCAAGAAATTGAAGAAAAAGTGGGGCCATCATCAAAAGAGGGTGAATTTGGAGATCACAAAGGATTATCAGAGCAAGAGGCTCCAAGAAAGAGCAGAGCTAAGAAGAAAAGTAAGCCCAGAAAGAGCCGCTGAAAATTATTGAAAAAGATTGAATTTTTATCTGCCCCTTTTTCATTTTTTTTCTTCTTAATGGGTGTGTGGTGCTGATTAATGGAGAAGAAGGGGTTCATCAAAGTTAATCTGTTGTGAAATCCCAGAAATTTTCTCTTAGACTTGGGTTTTGATTTGATGAATTATGCAGATGGTTACTATTTGCAAATAGGGTCTTGATTTTATCAATTGTAAAGATGCTTACTGTTTGTTTGCAAATGGGTAAAAATGGGAATTAGATTTCTCCACTTTCATATTTCGTTTTGTATTCCATTTCTTGATTGAATGACATTTGTACATGATGTTGTTATATTTGTATACGTGTCAATCATCTAATCTAACGAAAATAAAATATAAAATAGGATGATGTCATATTTATATACGCGTCAATTATCAAGCATAATGAAACACGAAATAAGGAGCTCGAAGTTTTGGGCATGGGATGAACAATTATTGGCAAGTTTTTGTTGGGTAGCCTGGTAGGGGTATCAATTGACTAGTCAATGGCAAAATAATAATGAAATCCATTACTATATAATAACAATAAGGAAAAATCTAAAAATAGCATGAAGATTATCGCCAAAAAAATTTCGTTTTTACTATTATTGTAAAATTCTTCATTAATCCCGCCTTTGACAAGTTTTTTGAATTTAAAAAAAAAAAGTCAATGCGTAAAATCCTGCCAAATAAACTAAATTAGGATAATAAGTTTGAAATTTATGTAAATTTCCTATAAGTTTGGAAAATTATTTTGTCCATATTTATATACATATAATCAGACTTGCTCACCTACCAAATGTGTGTGCCAAGATTTCATAATAAGGTCACGTATCCACATAAAAATAAAATAAAATAAAATAAAATAAATTAGAGTTTTTAGTTTGAAAAATCGTGGTTACTGGTTCTAATACGCCTATGAAGTTTTTTAATTGATTTATAGAATGTTAACAAGAGAATTCCTATCAATTGAATATACAATTTTAGCATTGATGTTCTAATTTGATAATTACACTATACTTTAAAATAGAATATTATCGCGTTTTAATATTGAAATGTTCCTTATTAGACTTAATATATTTAATACTCTAATAAAATCATACATATATATATATATATAATTTTTTAATTATTATGAAATAGGATAATTTAAAAAATTGAATAGAGTGCATTTATGGTTCAATATTTATTTTAATTTATTTATATATTTTTTAATATAATTACGTTAATAAATTATATTAATGTACACTGAATATTTATCATTATATGTATAAATATATAGAAATACTACTTTTATAAGTATTATAAATAATAACAATAATATTATATGACAATAAATTTTAGAATAAAATAATAATTGAATATTATGATGAATAAAATTAAACAAAATTATTATTTTTTTTATAAAAAAAAGGCAGAAAAAAATGCATGTATATTTTAAAAAACGACATACGAGCTCAACGTGTCGACTTGTGACGTCTTTCTTTTCTAAAGCGTGATTGCTTCGGATCAAACCCGCCTTCTTCTGCTCCATAAACGGCCCATAATGGTGTTGGAGCCATGTAATCCTTGCTAGTAAAAGGCTCTCCAGCTGAGACCTTTCAATAGCCAAAAAATAAAAAAATTAATCAAACATCGAATTATGTAGATAATTCAACATAAAGTATCTTTTTTTTTTTCTTTTCTTTTCAAATATAATCAAAAGCAAAAAATTTCAAGATTTTACCAGGTTGTGGAACTTGTCGTAATCTATCCAAGTATACCATTGGCCATCGACTCTAAATTTGTCGACTTTAGCCAGAAGTACACAACACGAATGCACGTGCTCACAAGCCACTTCATATGCCCCTTTGCTCTTTCGAGACAAAGCTTCGGAAAACTCCTTTACGTCAGAATGCCAGGGCACGTTCTCCATTGTCAACTTTGAAGTTGCTGACCTGAAAACGGCCCAGATATATTTTTAATGGCATCGATATATATTGATATATTGTTTCAGTTCATCAGCATCTTATATGAGATTAAACAAAAGAAAGCAAAACAGAACTTAAATAAGTGCAAAAAGTACTTACGATCCACAGTAAGTGACTCCTTTGATTTCGATAAAATCGGGACTGCCGATATCGAAGAGTGACGAATATGCATCCACATCTTCTGTATTCCATCCTTTGACAAGTGTCAGCCGATATACGGTTCGTTGTTGCTTCTCTTTTAGGGCTTCTAAAGAATCCTAAAAATCAAGTTTTGGCAATTAATTACTCAAATTCAGAGATGCTGCTAGCAAAATCCCATCCGCTACAAATATGATTACACGACTCACCAATCATAATTTTTATAAAGATGAATTCCTACATAACTGATTATGATAGCTTCACATGAGCTCATCTCATTCATCATATTTTTGTTATCCTCTTTTTTTTTTCATTTTTTATTTTTTTATTTAATGAATGAGACCATTGGAGGGCTCAAAAACATTTTGGAACTGAAAATATATATCCCCGCACCATACAAGGCTAGAAAGGTTCAGATATCGAAAATAGAACGATAATTCCTAAGGGAAAAATATCAGCCTGTTTCAACTTTCAAATAGAAGTCGAGCACTTACCACAAATCTCTCCCAAAAGTCTGAAAATAGTGGTCTATCAATTGCCTTCAAGCTATCCTTTGTGGCAGCATCCACACTCACATACAGCTGTCATGACTCAAAATTAGAGTATATTATTAGATCTCATATTCGCATAATGTTCTTAAAATAGAAAAAGATCGAAGGCCCATAAAACAGAAAAAAAAAAAAGAGGAACGCGCGAAAAACCTGCGTGACAGGCTTAAGCATCTTAATCTTTTCAGGAAACTGTGCATTTGTCACGAGAAAAGTCGATATTCGCCTCCGGTGTAGCTCGTCAACAAGAGAGTTAATCTCTGGGTACATGATAGGTTCACCCACAAGTGACAAGGCACAATGTCTAGGAGAAAGACCCTCGGACAAAAGCTCTGCCTTCACCCCTGCAAGTTTTTAAAATTCTAATAAACTATTAGTAAAATTCCTGGGCCAGCGCAAATGCTTGCAAAGTAGTATATTCTTTGATCGAACTCAGAGAGCCTCAACTGCAAAAACCAACTCGTTCCACTAAGGGTGAGATTGGATATAAATTCAATCAGAAAAAACCAATCAAAACTCAAATTTAGCTCAACTTCAACTCAATCCCATTATGCTCAATATTATCAATATAATTAAATAATACTAATCGATCATTCTTACACCTCACATCAACTTTAATTAATTGTTCATCCACCTACATAATTTTAACTAATCACACTTCAATCTCTCTCCTACTTTTACATCAAACCAACTTTAATTATTTTATTTTAAATAGTATTTTAATATAAACTCGAAATCTCACTAACAACTAACCATACAATTTTTTCCAAAACTTGTAAAAAAATCATTTTGAGAGGATATATTATGATGTCAGAAAAAAAGAAAAAGTCACTCCATTATCTGAAGACAGAATTATAAGTTTGAAACATAATATATACTAAGAGATTTGACGTCATCAAAAGTAAAAGTTGAACTTGTAAACAAACTTATAGAATCTACCTGGAACTCCTTTCATCTGTTTTATCATCTTCGTATGTAGATCAATGGCGGTATCAACAATCACCAAAGGATCATCCATCTTCCACTGCCAGGATTTCCCAACAGGGTTAGTGTGATGCCTCCAGCAGAACACACATTTGTTCGCGCATGCCAAACTTGGGGTTGCCTCCATACACCTAAAGGGTTGTAAGTCATCCAGGTTGAGAGCCAATAAGTTTGGCACTATTGTTTAAGACCATACTTAATGGGTAAGCGGGTAAAATTGAATGATCTGAAAGTACACTTACCGATCAGTAGCTATAACTATATACTGCTAAAGGATGATGATATACCTATAACAGAAGCAAAAGAATTATACCTGTGACTCTCAATTCCATAAAATGAGTGCTTATAACAGCCACCACGTCCTCTAAGCTGAGACTTGGTCCATCTACAAATTTTAACCCCACTGTGAGAGCCAATGACTTTATACCCCTGTGAAGGACATAAGCCAATGAAGACGTGAAGCGTATTAATCATATAAGCACAAACAAGAGAGTAGAGACTGCAGGTAAAAAGTATATGTGGATTAACAGGGGACTGCTATAGACAATCCAACTAACATTTCCATGTAAAGATTCTTTATATTTCATAGGTTGCCTTTTGGGGCATGAAAATAGAGATAAATCTGGCAACCTTAGTCCATCGGGTTTAAAAACGCATTTCCCTATCAATTGGAGTCTGTTTTTGTAATTCTCAAATGCGGATTGCTACCAGATGGAGCTAATTTTCTTGAGTAATAAGACTTAATTGGTAATGAACTAATGTATAACATGACATCAAACAGAAGATTTAGCACACAGAAAAATCAAAGAAGCTTGGACTTCAGGGTTCCAACAGACAGCAAGGTTATAAGCCAAAGCAGTACATCAATTTTAATTTTCTTTCAACGAATCAAGAATAAATACAACGACCTCAGAACATTCACTGCACCAACTCCAATAGAAAAATTTGCACTTTCGAAGTCTAAGTTTCAAACTCCATCAAAATCGGTGAACTTTACCTGCTTCTCTAAATTTGCTCTTATAACTGGAGTCACCATTTCTTTCTCCCCGTTCACCACACGCCCATTCGGTTTGCCATTAGCCTTATCCCCTGCCATTGATTTTCTCGAAGGCCCTTTCCCCGCAATATCCTCGAGATCGACAACAGCCGCCTCATCATCATTGTATTCATCCTCACTCCACTCACTTTCTTCTTCTCCTTCTTCTTCTGCACTTTCGCCTCCGACCCCATTATTCCCAAAATGCCCCACGTTCTCCCCCAAACTATCACCTTTAAGAACCCCAATAATCTTCTTGCACCATCCATCAAACACCTCATCTACATTCCCTTCGTCCACATCCCCCTCGGCAGATTCCACCAGCTCGCTCGCCCCAAGCTTCCGCAACTTTACCGAAATGCCCCTGGCGACAGCATTGTACGTCTCGCCGTAGCTCCCGCTCCCAACCCCGAAAACCGCGTACTTACAGTCCTTCAGCACGAGGGCTCCGACCCTGAAATCATCAACGCTCTCCGCCAACCAGTTCACGAGGAAGGCCCCATTCTCAGGGGCCCCACCGTTTTCCCAAGTGGAGGCCACGAAGACGACGAGTCCCTCCCTGCATAAATCCTCGGGCTCGTAGTCCTTCGGATCGACGAGATCAAAGGGGAGCCCATTTTCGGCCAGCCACTCGTGGAGGCGCCGGGCTAGGGTTTCGGCGGTGCCGGTCTGCGATATGAAGAAGAGTTTGCCTCTGTTTGGCGGCGGGGAGGGGATGGGGACACAGCGGTCGGGTTGGGAGAGGGCGCCGCGGAGGCGCGCCAGGAGGCGGCGGTGGCGGTGGCGGGATTTGTAGAGGAAGTAGACGGTGGCGGTGGCGGAGAGGAGGGTGAGGAGGGCGAGGCGGGTGGACGGAAGGGGTGGTGGGGACATGGCGGGGAAATTCTTGATTTCCAAAGGGTTTATTTCGAGGGTTAAGAGAAAATTGAGCCCTGCATTTGCAGGCACTGTAAAAAGCTTGATAATGTACAAATACGAGGGTTTTTTTGCGAGATGCAGGTCGAAATTGACCACTTTTATACTATTTTCATACTTCTAGTTGTGATTATAGGTGGAAAAACCAAGGTTATCAAAATCGCGACTTTGAGTCGTAGAATCGCCGATTCTACGACTCAAAGTCACAAAATCGATTCTAAGTCGCTCAAAATCGCAAAGGCATGTAAAGTCGCTGCAGAATCGGTAGAATCGGTCAAAATCGTAGAATCGGACCGATTCTACGACTTTGACCGATTCTGTGCAAAACTCAAAAAATGAACCAGATTTTAAAATTGGGCTGCGTTTACGCACTTGGGCTGTTTCTTTTGATTTTTTTTTACACAAATTGGCCCAAAGAAGCATAAATATTCCCTTCCCTTGGCCCAATCTAAAACAAATTAATTAAAATAAATTTAAAAAATACCCAAAAATCCTAAATTCCCTAATTTGAATTCATTTTTCCCTAATTCCCTCTGCTCTTCTGTCACAAATCGCGACTTCTTCACCTCCATCCCTCGCCGGCCGACCGTCGTACTCCGACGTTAAACTCAAATCCATCTCTCTCTCTCTTCTTCTTTGGCCTCCAATTCTCCATAATCCACAGTTCGCACGCTTGTAGCCTGTGATAGTCTTCGACGTTAAAATGGCTCAGCCTCGACGCCTGCGTCTTCTTCGTCGGAGCAGACTTCTCAGCAATTAAGCTTCATCGCTTTGTTTTTCTCCCGTTTAGAGGTAACCATTTATCCCTACTTATCTCCCTGTAATTTGTTTTTATCATTGTTGGAACAGGGGAAATTCACAGAATCACAGTTTTAGGAACTAAGAAGATTGAATTTTTTGTTGACGCCTTGATAGCCGTGACTTTGGTTCTGACTTTAGAGTTTGGACTATATGTGACGTTTGAATGGCTGTGTCTATGTATTTGTAAGTGCTAACTTTGAAATTTGAACGCGCAGAGTGTTAAAATTTGAATATTTTATATTTTGAAAAACAAGTGGTGGTTTTTTTTAGTATTTTGATACATATTCTTGATGATTACCATAAAACTTGTTAAAATAATTAATTTTAGACGTTTTGAGTAGAGTCTTACGATTTTACGATTCCAATTCTACAATTCCGATTCTGCACACAAAACGATTCTACTTAGAATCTCGATTTTGAAAACCTTGATTGAAAGTTAATAAAAGGTTATTATTGTACCTTTTGTTATGTATATATATTAAAACATAAATAAATTATTAAATACAATAATGTAAAATATAAAATAACATAAAAATATTTTATAGTAATGAGTAAATTATATAATAAAAAATAATAAATAAAAAAATATTTTAATAATTTAAGTTAATTCAATGTGTAATTATATATATTAAATAATTTTTTAATACACCTAATTTATAAATTAATGCACGTTATACAGTACGATGTTCCACTTTATAAAACAACAGGTTGCACTTTATAAGACGACACGTTGAACTTTATCGACATAATTAATGTCACTAGCTTCCGCCGAAAAATATTACGCATAAAAATATAAAAATTGGATCTAGCTACATAATTGCACTTTATATATCAATACATGGCACTGTACGGAAATACATTGCACTTTATCAACATAATTAACGTAAATAGCTCCCGCAAAAAATATTAATTGATAAATCAATGCACGTTATATAGCGTGACGTTGCACTTTATAAAACAACAGGTTGCACTTTATAAGACGACACGTTGCACTTTATCAACATAATTAATGTCACTAGCTTCCGCCAAAAATATTACGCACATAAAAATAAAAAATGGATCTACATAATTGCACTTTATATATCAATACTTGTACTGTATACGGAATTACATTGCACTTTATAACACGACATGTTACAACTTAAAACAATACAATACACACGCGTACGAAAAAAAATACGGTAATTCTGCTAATTGATCGAATAAATTACTTGGTTAAATGTCGAATTTAGTCTTTTTGAATAAATAAAATAACTGAACATGAAGAACTATATGAAAAATATTACCAATTCTTTTTTTATTTATATTTTTTAATAAAAAATTATACTATTTTTTATATATTTTTATATGTATTGGCGAATGCACATAATGATTATACTGATTGCACATAAATGCCTACCATATTGCACAAAATCGAACGAAATCCAACGAACATAAATTCGGTATGAAATATTATATTTTGTTTCGATTTTTTTTTTTTACATAACGAGTATTTTCGATACGATGACATTTTTTTATTTAAATAACTAAAATAAAAGCNTGTAATATGTGTTTTTGTAAAACATTTTCAGTAGTAGCTGAAGATCGATCGATCAGGAAAATAAATAAAATTCAAGAATTGTTTTATCTCAAATTAACCTGTTCTTAAGCCTCGAGAAGAGATGATCGGCATGCAAAAGGTCGTAAGTTCTTGGATATGTACTGAAAGATTCACACCAGTCATGGTAAACACCAATAAGCCCACGCTCGAAAATTATGGGAAGTGTGTCGGGTGCATGAACAGGAACTACGTTCATAACCCAGATTTTCTGCTCCGAAAGTGCAGCTGCAAATCTGTAAAAAGTATCATAAAAAAAAAAAGTAATAATGAAAAAAATGAAGCTGGACTTTTCAATTATTGGAGCCCCAAATGAAGCTTTATAGAGTAGCCTTATTGAAATATAAAATCAGAAGCAACAAAACTTTCTAATGAAATAAATAAGGTGTAAAATAGCAGCTGAAGGACCAGTAAATCATTTCAAAAATTAGTTACCTAGTGGTTTAGATGCATATTCAGAAAACTACAATTCGAATAAATCGATTACCAGACACATTGGAAAAATTAGACTCGATTTCTTTAGGAATGTTATCGCTTTACGAGTATAAAAAAGCGGACCTAAAATTAATGTCCCCTCCATGTTTACTGAAAAAAGGGAAAGAAAAAATAGTTCACTTCTGAGAATTGGGTTCTGATAAGAAGTAACTTTTTTAATCAGAGGATAATTAGCGGGTTGCTCAATAAAGCAGTAAATATTTTTTTGAAAAAAAAAAAGAGAAAAGGAAAATAGTTAACAATTTTATAATTTAAACCTCAACATCTTATTCCAATTATTCATTTTCTGAGTATTTATTCTGCAGGTAGAATAATTGAAAAAACTAATTAGAAGAGCTTACCCTCCATCTATGGCTTTCATGTCCATTACATTCCTGATCGTTGACCAATCAATGCCTATTCCTATTAGATAAGAGTTGTTCACAATAGCTTTCCAGTGCTCACTATCAGCAATCAATTTCTCTCGATCATTGCTCATCCAGTCAGGGAATGTGTAAAGCCTCTTTGGCCATTCTGCAGGCCACTCGGTCCCACGTTGCTCGATTGCTTCGGGAATTGGATGGATGCATGTTTTCAACTGAACATACCTGAAAAATATTAAAAATATTCTTGAAATTATCACAAAGATAAAGCTGTATATGTCATTATTTCTTAATTATTTTAAAGTTTACAGACAGAACAACCAACTTTCCTTCAAAGTTATTTATTGATATTTTTAAAGGAAAATTGGACATGACATAACAAGCAAAGGAGAAGGATGAGAACTAATGAATGATGTGATTTTTGTGTTGTTAACTTGTTATTACTACTCACCAGGCAGCATCTGGGTTCTCATTCTCTTTACAGAGAGGTGGGTCCCGTTTTCGCCTCAGTTCATATATTTCGTTTGTTTCGGGCTTTTGATATATCTTCACACCAACATCACTTAACTCATCAGTTTTATCAGCCAAGATGTTCCAACAAATCGATGATGTCAGCTTGGAAAATGCTGGAAAAAGGAACATTAATAAGGGGTATATATAAATATAAAATAGTTTTAAGTTCCCCATAAATAAAAAATAAAAATAATGCACAATATAGATTTTTAGTTAAGATAAGCACACTGCACACCTTCTTCAGCTTCGATACTGTTATGCTTAGTTGAGAAGATGAAATACCCACCAGGCCTCAATAATCTATTCATTTCGAGAATAAGCTTACCACCTGAAAATCAGTAAATTTGAAAAGATAAACAAAGTTGCATGAAAGAGTGGACTACTATAAATTAA